GCTTGGTATTATGCTGACTTGGGCTAAACTCAAATTTTAAATTGAACTTCCCTGATTCAAAGGAATCAGGATGTGAAACATCCACAGGTGTCATCTTAGGTTTGTGAAACCAAAATTCGATAGAAGAGGTTCTGTGAAGCCAAGGCATTACAGGTGTCTGTTACCAGGAAAAGGACCCTTGCTTACCATTTCCAGGCTTTTGGTGATTCATATGAAGTGGAACCGAGACACAAAGCATCTCTGCATTTTGAGTTTGACAAACAGATGTGAGTTCATGAAAGCAGCACCAAAACCTCGAGAAATGTAAGTGATGCAGAGGGAAAGAATGCACAGAGAGTGTGCTACCTCCCTCTCTCTGCAGTCCTGTGCACAAACATTGTACTGGCCTGATTTTCGGAGGCTGGGGTGGGGCTGCTCACTGCATCTGAAAAGCAGACCTTTTGTTTAGATCTGCAAAAAATTTGCAAGTTTGTTAGTTCATCAAAGAAATCTAATCCACCTATTGTCTTCTGATCTTTCTCATAAGATCCCTCCATATGAATAGAATTGCTTTTAAAAGCACCGTCCCTCCCGCGCTCCACCCCCCCAGCATTTCCTGTCCTCTCACCTTAAAAAACAACTCTGAGAACTTTTTGACCAAAGCAGCCATGTGGAGCCAGAATTGTTTCAGTTTTATGCAGGGCCTTTGCTCACATCCTGTCGAGTGTTAAAAATCCCTCAGCTGCTTTGCTAGGACCACCCGGCTAGTTCTGAACCACATCTGACAAAATGATACTGTTCACTTCCAGAACCCATCACACAGTTATTCTTGGATAAAAGGTAAAGCAAATAGCAGCCAACTGCTCACTGCTGCAGAAACAAAGACCATCTAGCCATTTATCAAAGCTTCAGACAACCAGCTTGCTTTAAGCTCAGCCACCTCTCCCATTACAGCTTTAAACGATAACACGCTATAATATCAGAAATGACAAATGGAACCGGGGGCCTAACCTATACACAATCAATACCTGCTCTGAAATAAGAACCATCTTTAAAGTATTGACAAAGGGAGCAGGAATACGTATAAAACTGCAATTTTTTCTTGAATTGTTTGGTATGGCCACTGTCAACATTCATTTGTCCATGACATTCTTTTTTTTTTTTTTTCATGAGAGCAGCAAAACCCCAGGATGTGCAACTATTGTCAGGCCATTACAGTTGCCCCGTGTCTACTGCTTATGGGAAGGTAAGAGGAAAGGGCCAATTGCAAGTGACTCCAGCAGAGCCTTCCGCTGCAGATTAGAGTGTTATGCTGTGAGCCAAGCAATTTGGCTTTCTGGTTCATTCTGAGATACATCAGAAAAATTCAAGATGTCATCAGCTTCACTCATTTTGATGGTGCTCCTCCAACTTGGGTCAGAGGAGCTTTATTTAAAATACACCCATTAACCCTCTACAAGAGCAGAATAAAAATTCTGTGTTCAGGTCATAAAGGGAAGGACCTTCCTCTGAAGGATTGATGAAGGAAGCACCTTATGGGCCAGCTACTTCCTCCTCCTGAGTTTAATAATAATACTTTGTACATTTATAGCATCTTAAAGTGTTCACCACATTTCTGATACTCTATGAAGAATTAATAACAATCCAAAGTGCTCTGCAAATGTTCATATCCCCTTACAGATGGGGAAACTGAGACAGAGCCAAGTTGAATGGCTTGCTGAAGGTCACGCAGGGCGTTGGAACACCTGGCAACAGAAACGCAGTCTCCTGGGCCATTGTTTGAAGCTCAGATCTCTCTTCCTCTGCCACACGATTTTGCCAGAAGAAAGCAAGGAGTAAGGAAAGTGACCTGTGAGGGGAGTTAGTCACGCAGTAACAGTATCTCCAGACTAAGTGTGCAACCAAGGAAGTGTAATAGGAGGGACTGTGGTCTTGGTGTCAAGGAAGCACAAAAGAACTGATCACCAGAGTCTTCCACAGCACATAGTGAAGTTAATGACCTTACAGCCTTTTCTAGACATAGGAGTAGCCATCCCCATTCTTTATAACCTTAATGCCCATGCTGTTCCAGGGTGCAGGTGGCTGGGTGCAGCGGCACAGCCCTGGCACAGTGCTGGGGCACCAAGCGCAGCCACGAGGAGGCTTTGCCAGATGCATCCCTCCTTGTCTTGCTGGCCGATTGCTGCTGGCTGGGTCGTTGTATGCCGATTCTCCAGCTACAGCTTACAGAGGGAAATATCTGGAAAAGTGGTTTTATTTTGCTCATCAGTGCTTCAGAAACTTCAAAGTAGCAATGACTCAGAGAAGGGAGTGCAAATAAAGCAACAAAGGCAACTGAGCAGCTGGAGATCAGCCAAATGTTCTTGAAGGATAACCTAAAATATGCCACACGTTACTAGTGAGTAGGACACAACTCCGGGGAAACCCTATTTAGAGCAAGATGTTAAAAAAGAGTGAAAAAAGAAGTGAGTGGGGCACAGGGGATCAGTAGCAGAGGAGTTGGGGCACAGGAGCAGACCCACAGACCTGCTCTGGGGTTTACACATCACCTCACTGCAACCATAACAAGTGGGAGTAAGCTTTAAAAGGGCTGGCCCATTTTGGTTAGGCCTTTCAAGTTCTCGGGTGGGAAATGGCATTATTGGTTGTCATTACATGTAAATAAATAAATACACCCACTCCCGTTTTGGAGGCAACACAAAACAGGAAAAAAGCTGCTACATGATTTCAGGGGAAAAAAATGCTTCTGTCTCCAGCCTTTTACTCTTCCATGAGGGGCTGGTGACTGCTTTATTTGGCAGGGCTCATTTCAGAAAGATTTCAGTCTGTGCTGGGATTAGGCTGCTCTCTGCTTCAATGAACGAGTTGCCTCAGAAGAAGAACATGACAAGGAGGGGGTGGGAGACACAGGATGCTCTGCACATGTCCCCCCAGCTCCGGGTGTTTCCTCATGGAAAGACACCAGATGCCAGCACCAGATCCGAGGCGAGAGCTGCACTACTGAATCTGCTCTGGTGAGCGAAACCACAGCATCCACTTTCCAAGCACTGGTGTGGTCTGGATAATGTGTTCACAACAGGAGGGAGGCGCAGTGACAGGCCAAGTTTAATATTGATTTTAGCATTGCTGGACAGATTAGGCCAAAACAGGATAATCCGTTAACCCCCAAAAGCGGAGGAGTCAGCAAATTTGCTGGAGTTCTCTATTCAGGACACTCGGCTCCTCAGCTTTTTATCGACATTTACCTGCAAAGGGGATGCTGCATGACAGCTGGTGTGGCGTGGTGGCACGGCTGGGGTGAGATTTTCTCTGTGGCCAGTCCACAGCTCTACCAGCAGCAACTGGAACTGATGGATGGGAGGGAGGCTGAAAAACGGGTTGGAAACCCCAGCTCCATGACTCTTTTGGTGTAGAAACCGGGCCATTAGGCTGCTGCAGACTGGGGCACTGAGGATTCAACAGGAGGAAAATCTCTCTGTGCTAAAAGCTGTGTAAAGCTATTATTATTATTACTATTTATCACTGTTATTGTAATATTGCAATATGCATCCTGCAGCAGACCTGTTTTTTTTAGTAACTGGGCCTGTAATGCTCTATAGGGTTTGAACTGCAAAGAAAGTGCAAGCTAAATTAGATTAGTATGGAGCAGTAATATAATGAACAGAAGGTTAAAAGAGAAAAAACAATGTAAGTCACATTATTAAAAAACTCTGAAGAGCAGAGCAAGAGCAGAGATGAATATCATATCAGGATTTTGGAAAAAGGGGTGGAAATTGAATTGAGAAATGGAAGACAAAAGCATCTGGGGGAATGTAGATACAAAATAGGTTTAATTTTTCAAGGGTTTTCAGGGGGTGAGGTGGAGGTAGGGTCTTAACAGCATTTTTACAAGTGTTTAAATAGGTTAGAAAAGAATCAAGGCTTTAATCTGTTGAGGTTCTTTTGAAAAGCCTGCTAGGATTTCATCTCAAGATGTGCAAATACCCTAAAAATCTGGCCCTGATCATTCAAGGAAATTGAATTATTTTCTAGAATAAGAGTTACCTTGCAGTCAGTCTAAATTCTCTATGCAGTTATCAAATTAAAACAAAATGAGCAAGGAAAGCAAATAAAATGAGGGCATTTGATGAAGCAGCTCTCTCATAAACACTGTTAAAACAAAGACACAAACACAGCCTCGGTCGGTGACTTAGTTTGCTGAACTTTTGGGAGTTTGCCCAGACAGCAGTATGCTCGCTCAGAGTTCAGGTCAAAATCTTTGGTGGAAAGAAAGGCAGGGAAGGAAGAAGTATGAGCTGCAGCTCCTTTACCCCTGCTTTCCTGCATGTGTGGATGATCAGAGCAGAAGCTGCTGAAGTACAAAGCTCCAAAACTAGATTAGGAGGCACAAGAAGCAAACTCTTGCACTCCTCATTTACACACAGAGCCTAATGACTCTTCACCTCTGTAGGTAGCTACACTCCGCCATCCTAGGATTCATAATTTTTGTTTAAGCTTTTTCTGCAAAGAGAGGCAGGCTCTCAAGGGAGATATGGGTTGACTATTGAAACAACGATTCACAATGGTGGTATCTAATAAATCAAGTGTGCCTACACCTACTCTGTGGCACAGCACAACCTCTCCCACCTTCCAAAGCAGCTTGGCCACATCTGTGCCACCTGTGGGGCCGCCTTCCTGACTGGCATCGCTCCCCTGTCTTTGCCTTAGCATCATCCTTGCACAGTTCCCCACAGCCAAGGAGGGACGGATGCATCTCACAGTCTTTCTGGGACGTGTAATTTAGTCTTCACTCTGCTAAAACAAATGTGCCACAAACTGAGAGGTAGACTATTCCCAGACTTGCCGAGGTAAAGCAGATGTGCCTGCGAAACGGGTCCGTGAGCTCAGTCCTTGCTGAAGATACTTGATAGCAAAGGAAGCCTCAGCACCGTGTGATGAGGCAGTTGCTACGGTAACTACTTTTTTCCTTTTAGAGAAAAGCCAAGTAAACAAGCATGTAAATAGACTTAAGAGCCACGTAAATTGTTGGTGAACCTATTCTGGTTACCTTGACGATAAAGTATCACTCTTCCAGGATTTAAACTTTCTTTGGCGTGTAAAGAATATAATATGCTACAACGGGAGGCAGCTACAATTGGATCATCTAAGTTTTAGGTCTATCTTCTCTCTTTTTGCATTACTCTTCTTTGCAGGGTGTGAAGGCATCCCGTGTAGCTAAGGTATGTGGTGTACCAAGTTCAGCATCACTCACTACGCAGGCTACTCAGGGAGGCAGTGACTTGTGCATATGCGCACTGAAAACAGAGGATGGAGTGGATGTCCCCCCACCGAGCTCTTTATTAATTAGACTAACAGTAGTTAAGTTGCAATCACTAGTGTGAACTAAATTTTAAAAGTGTTGCTTTCTTTCCAGGTAAAGAAAATGATATGGGTAAAATACAAATTTGATGTTTAAAAGGACAACGTCCTCTCCTGGTCCCTTAACCTTGGCTTTGATCACACTCATGGAAATCAGACCTGTATAGGATTAACTATACCTAAAGAATTTCTGCTGGCATAAAACTGGTGGCGCCAGCCAGCTCCACACTCACCCCAGTGAAGCACTTTGCCAGGCTGTAGGTTTTCCTTCCATGCTCTGCCCTGTACCAGCAGCAGGGCAGTTCCCGCTGGCACGCACAATTTGCGCCCAAGGAAGACAACGAGACACTCCTTTTGCTTGTCAAGCACAGCAGAGGAATTCCCAAAACAAGCTAATCACTGGAAACACCACCTCAGGGCGATGCTGCTATGGGTGTGGGAGCTGCACTGCCTCTGCAGCTGGCACAAGCACTGACTCGTAGCCCAGACGAGGCCGGCGGTGCGACGCCAGCCCGACTGCCGCACCGTGCTCTGTTCTTTACAGGTGCTCCCAGCGCTCAGCACGCACTATACAAACCTTCCCAACGAAAGACCGTGCCTGCCTGTACGCAGCCTCTCTTAGTGCTTCAACCAGCACAGAGTGATGGAGAACGCCCCGCGGCATTTTACCCCGAGCCTTCTCATTTTTCCTGCTGTTCCAACCGCGGCGGCTGTTGCTGCAGGAACGGAGCCCCTCGTGCCTGTGCCGGAGTGGGCTCTGCAGCTGCCACAGCTGACATCAGGCAGCATAACTATTTCAGCCCTGCCGGTCCTCAGCAGGGGTCACAGCTGACAGCAGACTTAATAAAATTGGCTGGGGTTGGGTGACTAAAATGAAACATCTCAGCTGAAAAAAAAAAAAAGGCAAGATTGAGGCTCATTCAACAGCTTTCTCTTCACATAGTTAAGGGAGAGCTTCACTACAATTGACAGCTAATTCAGTACACATCTCATAATATATTATCTCCCCGGCTATATGACAAGTCTAGTGAGCAAGATGCAAATGAACACTTAGGCAGGTAAGTTCTTAATGTCACTTTAAGACTCAGCGCGGCATCACTGTCTTCATCTACCGGATGAGCTCCGTCGTGATGGAGCAGTTGTGGGAAGGTAGCAGCAGGACGGCAGAGGAAATGGAAGGTAAAAGAGGTTAATTTATGGAAATTATCTAGGTCATCCAGTAAGTAGGACATGTCATGCACAGCTTTAAAAAGTACAATAGTAATTTATTTAGAACCTGATTTTTTCAATAGATAGTCAATGAGGGTTATCAGGAGTCATGTAATTGTTTTGATCTCCCCATCACAAAATGAACAGCAGCATCCTGAGCTGATGGGGGAACTTCCTGAGTTGTTCACCTACAGTGAGGCCTCCCAGAGGAGAGGCAAAGATTTGGCTGAACCAAGGACCAACGCCTGGAAGTTACATGTGATGAATTTGTGGGTTCCTGCAGCATTTCGCAGCAGTGTGTGTCACTGGGACTGCTGGGCGGGCTGAGCTTCTGGCAGATCCCAGGAGCACCAAAAAGAAAAAACCTTGGCAGAATTTCTAAGTTCAGAAGTACATGTGATTTTGGAGGTGAAGGGAGTGCAAAATAAGAACAAAATAAATTCTGTGTAGAGATGCTAATTCATTCCAAACCGATTTAGACTTTCTTCAGTAGCTAAGAACTAATTAATCTTTTCCTTCTCATTAATGGTACATGTAAAGAAGCAGTCTATTATTTTTTTTTTTGGCTACAGACAGTAGCTGACATATGACTAAGGATTGTATGAAGCATAGCTCATAGCTCGTTCTTCTTTTTTTTTTTTTTTTTTTTTTCTTCTTCTTTGCTCTGCTTTTAATGCTGAAATTGAGAGCGCAAACATGGACTCCTGGACTGCAGAGCTGCCTGCACTAACTTTGCACAACCTCTTTCACTGCAAGGAGCAGTAAAGGAAAGTAAATCTATGGGACACACAGGGCACAAATAGGGAAATTCGGATAAAAGTGGGGACACATTGAACACTGCAAGAATTAGGAGTGGTCCCAGGTTTGGGTGAAATTCCTGTGAGCATATGCCTGGTAAGTGCTGAATAAAACGTTCACTTATCAGCTCCATGCCCCACTCCCCAGCTTTGTTTGTGGCCCGTGTATTTACCTATTTTCCATCAATTCCTCTGTAATAAAGCCACGCAACCTTCTGCACTGATTTGACCTAAACTATTTTTCATTTTTACTTTTTAAGCAATTAGTTAAATCAGTCAAAAAGGTGGCATGGACAGATACTTAAAAATAGATATTTTAATATATATTTTAATAATCTAATAATAGATGAACTTTTTTTCTCTTCTTTCTTTCTTTTTTTTTTCTCCACATTTAAACCCTTCTGAAAGACTACAGCTACAACTAGCAGAGGTGGTTTAAAATAAAAGTCTTTCAGCTGTATCCTTTAGTTTCAACTTGCTCTTTGGAGGAGCTGCTGGTCTATCAGGGCATCATAATTCTGAATTTTCCTGGCTTAATTGGTTTGTTTTGTGATGGTCTCTGTGAAAATAAATTACAGGGGTTTTGTTGTTGTTTCTGTTTATTTTTTTTACTGAGATGACTACAAATTTGTAATGAGAATATCTTTTGTAAAGATAATAGGATGGATCTGGAGATCTTTAATCAGTTTTTAATTACAGAACCCAGTGACTCAAAACCTCCAGTACCTGACTTGGTGCCTGTCTCAAATCCTCCTGCCCTGCTCTCCAGCTCCATCAGCAGGGTGCCGATGTGAGTGAGGCCAGCCAGCGCAGGGAAGACTTCGAGGAGTTCTCCCATTCTGAATACTGGACTTTAAACACTGCTGGCAGAAAGCGGCAGGCAGTCAGCCTGTGCTATCAGTGGTTCTGGACGTGTTTGCACACTGCTGCAGGTGGCTCTGCAAGCTTCTGAGCACTGCAATGCTGGCTGCTCACCCTTCGGGAGGTGGTTGATATTTTTCATCCATTCTCAGCTCACGGAGTCATCACACTCCATACCAATCTTGGTTTGCATGTGTTATAGATAATTTTTCTAGCCACTGTAACTGTGCGCTTATATTTAAAAAAATGGACGGTAATGGAAATAACTTTTTTTTTTTTTTAATGGCATGGTTTTAATTTTGTCGTTTCTGAGAAACCAGATTCATGACTCTTTGCCTTCTATTTTCAACAAGCTCTTCCTCTCCTCCTGCTGTTTGTTACACTTGTTGCAAAACCCAGTCTGAGGCTTTAGGCTGCTCACGGCAACGCTCACGCTCATGCTCTTGAGCTGGTCATGTCTGAAGTGAACCATCAGCACGAAAAGCAGCCAAGGCGCTGAGAATCAGCCCCCGGTAACTCATTTCCTTCTGCATAGCCCAAAGTGTTTGTGATTATTTGCAGTAAAACTGTATATTTCTGATCAATTTTTTGGATTCTCATGTTAATGTAATTTCAGCAGAATATCAAAAACAACTCTATTCTGGTTGGCATGACACATATTAATTGTGCATAAAGCTTGGAATCAATTAATTTAAAGTAATAATTTGTATAAACATCCTAACAAAATTTTAAAGGGTATTAAACACCCTGTTTTATAAACATAACACTTAATTTGAAAAAAAAACATTTAGAAGGTAATGCATTTAGGATAAGTGCACAACACATGAAAATAATAAATGAAATTTTCCCAGTTTAGAAAATGAATGTAATTAATTAACATTTAAATTACATTTTTAATTGCAATCATGCCCTCCCAGGGGACTCATAAGGGACCATAATTGCAATTAAAAGCATGTGGATTAGATAATAAAACAATGCACACTGTCTGAAATGTGCGATTTAAAATGGAAAGCAGACATTGTTATCGGCACATCTAACTTAATTGTAGCCATAAAGCAAATGTGCTGTACAAAATAAAATTCACATACGGGAACATTTAATTCTTGAATCTCTTAAAGGGGACACGCTTGAGAGCACATTTTATGACAGGTTCTGTTTGAAACGGCCCTTTAAGGCTTTAGTATTCAGGGATAGCACTTTAATGTTTTTGCATTAATAAAAGCATAGCTGAATGTTCCTATTAAAATACACAGATACATTTAAGTAAGAGATGAAACCGAGTGTCTAAAATTTAAGTTGCAGAAGGCACAATTATATTAGGAGCACATTTTTCTTTGTTCTGCATTGTTTGAAAATTGCATTTGCCAGGGGTGAGTTGGAGAGGCACTACATTCCCAGTACATGTAGTGAACAGGCAAAGGTATCTGATAAATAGGTGTTTGCCAGACAGATACAAATCTGCTCTGCCTTCCATGTGGTCACCTCTCAGGCCAGCAGACCTTCATCAGAATATCAACGTTCTGGTTTTCCTTGGTGCTGCACTACTGCTTTTTGATAAATAACAAAGGTTTTAGCCCTTAGTGCCACTAATTCTTCATTTTTCAAAAACTTCCACTTCATCTCAACACAAAGAGAAGAAATAAGAAGCTCCCAACAAGAAAGATCTTTCAGAAAGAAGGTTGAACTCTGCTTTCAGGATACTAAGTAGTAAATGAAGACACGAAGTCTCTGGAGGGCTGTGTTCTCCCACGGATCAAGCAGTATTAGTTACTCTTTGCTGGGGAAGTCCTCAGTGAGTTTAAGTTGCACGATACACAGACCTGAAGGTCTTTCACCAAGTTTATGTGTCAGGAGCCGAATTCAAGAATGAAAGGTTTTCAGAAATCACTGATTAGTCTCATTGCTGAGTGAATTACTACTAGGTGCCAAGATACTAATTGTGACAAGTGTGTTATAAAGCTGGGACAGTACAGACTGAAAATGGAGAAAAGTTTAGAAGCTGATGGAGAAAGGGTTCCAGATCATGATAGAAATTTTCTGCATGGATGCTTCTTTTTGCCATTTACTTTCTATCTTAAGGGACAATATATTTTTTTCACCTAACCCAGATACAAAATATGGCTCTATCCATAAGTTTATGTGGCAAATTTTGATGAATACAATGCTTTGGTAGATGAGGTTTGGAGTTAACTCTGATGTGGGAGAACACGTCATTTATGGAAGCAGAAGGGGAAAAAAAAAAAAAAAAAAAAAAAGATGAAGAACCAAATCTTTGAATCTTTCAGTTCATTAATTGATACTGCTCTAACTCCTGTTAGTCTACTGGGAAGATGCTGATATAATTGTTGATAATATTCACTGTGACACATGCTAGGATGTCTGCTCTATTTTCACCCTGCTTAAGACCTTGACCTAGGAAGGAATAGAGAGTTTAAGTGGTAACACACAAAATATAACCTCTGCCACTCAGGAAGGAAGTTATTTGGTATAAGAATATATCTGTAATACATATTCTTATATATTTTCCTATGTATATATTACAGATATATTCTTATATATATTCCTACCTATTAAAACACAGCGAGAATCGGAAGGAAACGCATGTGCAGGGTCCCTAAGTTATCCAAGTATTTTCCATTTTAAAATGTTTGGGAAACCTTGAAGTTCTTCCATATAATCTTTCTCACTAGTTCTGCTGCAGTCCTTGGACAGCACTATATATACAGTATAAAAAATAGTGATTGGTTTTGAAGGGAATAGTAGTACAATATTTCTAAAGGGTTAGAAAAGTTACCCTGAGTGTGAAATAATGCTGAAAGCTGAATACCGCAATTGGAGGTAACTTTTGAACTGGAAGGAAATATTTTACTCTGCAAATGCTTAAAGAAATAAATATCATTTTTATAATACAAAGAACCAACCAAATAAACAAACAAAAATCAAACCAAACAAATGAAAGAAAAAACAAACCACCAAGCATGATCGTTAATGTTAAATGGAGAGTTATCTGAAATGGGACGCGTATAGGTCTTGTGTAATTTGGTATTCTGTGCAATAAAGTGTTCGTTCTCAGGATTTTATCTATTGTTTAAGGCATTCAACATTAAAGGGGTATGATGACCTGGCACAAGCCAACCTTTCAGAACTGCATGAAATACAGAAAGTAAATATATATATTTATATTTGAATCCACACAGCATTCACCCCACACTGGTCACCCACAAAAAAAAAATAAAAAATTTCCAATGCCCTATCAGTGGTTTCTGCCATGCAGAGACTTCATTTTTACAATGCAGGTAATGATGTGCTACAATATTTGTGGTAAGACACTACGTGGCAAGCCAGTGGCAGATGATCTGTATGCATATCTCCTTGGCTTAATGACAACATAACAAAGTTTTATGTTCGTTATGTTCTCATTCCTCAAACCCACGTATAGGTCTCAGATGCTGATCCCGTCTTAGAGAGCCTTCAACTTTGGTGAGCTCACCCGTTGTCCAGTTGGACAAAGCACCGTTTGAACTGCCTAAGGCAAACAGTTAATCACATTAGCAGACCACTAACATTAAAACTGGGAAGTGACAAAAAGTAAAGCAACACTTAGATTTGCTGTGGGGAAACACATTCAGATTGAATTTAATTTGGATAGTCAGAAAATAGGGGCACCTGTCAGTTTCTAGGTAACACGGGGATTTTTTTCTAGCATCACTTACTACCTTTGGGAAAAAAGCTCCTTTCTGAAGCCAAAAAACCTGACAAGGTGTAACTCATACAATGCATTGTGCTGCATTACGATGGCTTACATTGGTTCATGTCTTGTCATATGACAATATAACATGACACAAAACTGCATGTACATTGCATTGGAGATTTATAAAACAAAGCTTCCTTTGCTCAGAACTAGAAGGGCTGTATTGTGAACCGCTTGCCTAGGAGGAGCAGACGTTTCTGAGCCGTGCACACAGTCTATAAAATATGCACATCCAGCCCTCAACATGAGCACAAACTAATAGGATCGGAGAAGCAGAACTTTTCATTCCGGCAGGATTTCACTACTGGAACTTTGTAACCTTGCGCTTTGATTTTGTTTTTTAATTAATTGCAAGAACATGGAAAATGCAAAACAGAAACACAGGGTAGGAAAGTAGAGGAAAAAAAAAAAAGAGGTAAAGATAAAAGACAGAAGAAAATTAATTGTTAATTATTTATTAGACGGTTCATTTGCTTACACCTACATTACAGTGTTGATGTTTTAACCCACTGTGCTCATTCCTCAAGTTTGACCTCAGCCACATCGTTAGCTGATTTCCTTTTCTTTTGTCACTTCTCATTAATTTCATCAGCATTTTTTTTAAATTTTAAGATAGAAGCTATATGTAACATTATGAGTAATTCTTATGGGATACTCCTTTTCTTAGCCTAACTAAATGGTAAATAAACCTGCAAATACTGCAACTGTTGTTAATATGCTTGAAAGGAGACATTGTGCATATTGAGACCCTGTTCTCTGAGGGACATAAGGCTGTCTTTCCCAAACAGTTTCCAGAGAATTGAGGAACTTTGGAGCCTCTAAGAAATCCTCTTGCTTCTTTAATCACAGTCATTCTACAGAAATTAATCTCTGTTCCTCTCAGGCTAGTGGTGAGACTAGAACCTCAGCCCTTTTTGGAGAATAAGTTTCTGAGTATAACATGCACACACAGAGGAAAAAGTCACTGGCATTTTAAAAAAATATAACTGTAGCATTAAAGGCAACTATAATATATCATCACAGAATCACAGAACAGTTTGGGTTGGAAAGGACCTTAAAGATCATATAATTCCACCCCTCTAACACCTTCTAAAGCATGGTTTGTAAAATATAATCGCTGCAGCCTATATAATTTCAAGATTTTTCTCTACAGCTGCCTCAATAACTGGCTAAAACCATTTAAACTTGTTTTACTTCTTTTTTTTTTTTTTTTTGGCACAGCAGTTGCAGAAAGGAGAATTGAATATGAAAAGGATTTTTTCTGCTTATTCTACTTTGGAAATTAATTTTTTTGCTTAACTCTAGCCTTCTAAGAGAAAAAAAAGTTTTTTTTTTTTTTAACTTTTCTGCTAAAACCTCTTGCAGATTTACTGTAACACATTTAACATGCAATAAGTTGCCCACCATGAGACCCTTGGCTCCCAAGGTAGCATTTATTTTAGCCACAAAAAGGTGCAAAGCAGCTAGGATTTATATAAATGTAAAATAATTTCAGCAGTCTGACACAGGAAAGGTAGGTCAAATCATGCTTAGCACTTATGTAATTTTTTTAACTACTGAAATGTAATCATATTCTGGAGTGGCTGATCTCATCTCTAGGATCAGTGAAACTATAGCACGGTTACGTTAAATATAAAAAAGGAGAAAACCTATTCCATTTCTCAACATACAGAATAATAATAATAAAAAGCTTTTCTTTGATCTCCTTGCCAAATAAAGTACTACTCTAGCATTTGACATATGACTGCAGTGACCCTGAGATATGCTGCCTGTACATTACCTTTACTTTGTTTCAGCAAAGCCAAAATGGGTAACAGAACTCCATCATTTACACTTAGCTTCTTTTAAACCATTTTTCACATTTAGTCCCCAATAGAAAAGGAACGTGTCTGTTTCCTCCAGGTGATTTATTACGTAGTTTCTAAGCAAAACACTTTTATCTGAAAGTATAGGTCAGACAAAGGAATACTGCAATCAAAGAGACACTTGCAGAAACATTATAAATACTGTACTATATACAGCAGAAGCTCTGCACTGTCAGAAATGACTAGCTGCTCACAAGTGCTGAAGTTCATTGTCTTTTGGAGGAGCAAGAGTTGCAGTTAAACTGGAAGAGTAATACCTCCTAGATTTTTTTTTTTTCATCAGTAGTTACCTTATTTGAAAAACATTTTAGTCCCCAGAGACTGGGTTAGAGAAGATGCTTTTATTGCCTTGCCATGAGAATTTGATTTGGTTTTGTTTTGGCAAGTGGTTCTGTAGAGTCACGACTCTGTGGTAGGTAATGGGAAAGGTGGCAAGCCACCCTGCACTCCTCATTTACAAAGATGTACCATATCTACTGCTGCTTACACAGCTCTGTGATTGTCCTACCAGATACCCCCAGGCTTCAGTGTATTTCTCCTCCTGGGAAGCCTGGACAGGCATGGAAGTCCATTTATTCCTCTTTTATACAGAGGAAAGACATAAGGAAGGCTGAGTGGCATGCCCTTGGTCACATAGGAAGCCCAGAGTATAGTGAATACATACAGTATGCTGAAGTGTGAAGCTCATACTCTAATCATTAGGCATCTGACCCCTCAGGGTTAAGAAATACATATACTGAAGCAATACTGTGAAATCTAAACACATAAACCAACCAAAGTATAATGCAGGTAGAAGAGACTGGTTTCTCAAGAAGAAAGGAGAAAGTAGCCTGTTAGAATTAAAGTTGTCTAGAGCAGCATAGTACGAGACATTCAACTACATGAAAGCTCTCCTGAAATTAAAGATGAATCTGAAAACAATGGTACATCACAATTTCTAATATCAAACTGGGGATTAGTATGTCTGATCCTTCTACCACCTTCTCAGATGAGCCTCCCTCTTTCTTTGCTTGGAGGATGTAAAGCTCTGCTTCTACTGTAACCCATTTATAAAAGCTTGCCTACCTGTTCCATGGCTCTCTCCCTGACTCCACTTTTAATCCAGACATGGCACATCAACAAGTCCAAATTTTTATCCACATTCTCACTTGAATTTGTTGTGTTTTCACTTGCTATTTTCTCTAACTTGATTAAGAATGAATGGATGTGTATGGACGTGTATGTACAACAGGGAGAGAGAGAAGATGAGTGTGTGTATGCAAAAGAAGGCAATTCATTTTGGTTTGGCCATCTCAGAGGAAAGAAGACCTCAGTAGTTTGTTTTAACTACAGTGCACTAAGGGAAGGGCAACAGGCTGGCTGGGGCACTGTGCTCTTACTGAGTATCAGAGGCACAATTGATAGAATGCAAAGGTGAGATGGGAGCAGTGGAGAGGAGAAAGGCTGAGCTTACTGCTTGACCAGGTAACAAGATGAGGAGCAGGAGCAGGAAGAGGGAAAGGAAGAACAAAAACTCCTGGGGCAAATCCAGAGCTGCCTCCAGAGTTCGGACCTTTTCCAAGCTCGACATGACTGTCTGTGGTTGACAGTCATCTGCTTTCCATCAAAATATCTTGATGTTCTTATTGCTTTTAGCTGTAGATCAATAAAGCAGAGAGTAATGACAGTTCAACAGTTTTTCTCCTGGTAAAGTGACCAAGGCTGATCTACATACCTTGAGAAATCCATTTAAAATGGGGAGGAACATCAGCTTCCTATTTTACAGGGAACCATAAGCATAAGCTTTCATCTTGTGTGTGGTGTTTAGACACAGTAGTGACAGGTGCCAGTGAGCTGATGGACAATAGTTCTGAGATAAGACCTTGCTTCTCTTCCCAGGCAGGATGGTGAGCAGATGCTGAGCAGAACAATGGAAAGTAAGCCCTAGAAAAGATTGTGGACGGAAGGGGGCGAGGGTTGTCCTTGCAACTGCTGACTGGAAAGGGAGTAAGCAAGATGCTGAGTGTTTCAACGCTTCAGCAAATACATATACCAAAACCGACTGAAATTCAGAAGTGCTAAAGAAATGGGAAGGCAATGTTCAATACATTATGACCTTTTCCACTATTTTCAAAATAGCAATCTAAGGGAAAAAAAAAAAAAAAAAAAAAAAAAAAAAAAAAAGCCCATCCTTACCACATGGCTGAAAATATTATTAAAAGCAATGAATTCTTTTTTTATTGTTATGTGTTTTTTTTTAAAGTACCATTTGGAGGAGAGGCAGCACAGAGGATGCCTCCCTTAAACTGCAGATAAGTTAGACGTTTGAAAAGAACCAATTTATCTCATTCATTCTTTTACGTGCTCGCTTATATTTATTTATATGCACACTTCTTTGAATTGCATTTTTTATTTTTTACGGTGTGCAGTACCTGTTAATGATCATATACAGTTATGAGAATTAAAACAGAGTCCCGCATTTCACTTGAACACCAGAGCAGCACACACACAGGATGCAGTATATATAAATAACAAAGACCTTGAATAATCACATACTTTATATCCTCTCTTACTGGAATATAAAAGCAAGCCCTAACCTATGACAAACTTAATACAAATAAGATATGAAATAAATAAAATGCACAATGCTAGAGCTCAATTTGAACTATTCAGACTTCATCAAAATATATTGGAAAATGTGTGATAGGACAGGGAAAGTCTTTGCATATAAATTATTGCTATGAAAGGATTTGCTGCTGCAAACAAGTGTAGAGATGAAACTTCCCCAAAACTTATATCAAGCATAAGATATTGTAAATAATAATTTACATTTAAATAGCACCTTCAGTTCTGTAGGATCCTGGTACATTTTGCTAACCACGAGTGAAATGCTGTGATGGGTAGATGGTGCTAGAAATATTTTCAGCACTACTTTGTGTATACAGCACGGTATAGAGTAAAGTAACTCTGCAGAGAAAGAAGTTTCTGACCTCAATATGTACCACTTTTATATTAGTTAGCATGGATACAAGAAGCTGAGGCTAAGAGAGGATAGGCATAGATAAAGAATAGATGGAACTTATAAATAAAACATGTATGAAGCAATAGCTAACGGAAGTATCAGCCAAAGACATGGCTGCCAAATTAGGGGTTCTTGTGCATATTTATATATGTGATCCACATACAATTCCCTGAACTTATTCTAGTTATTTGGGATTCAGTGATAAGTTACAATCAACCAGCAAAGATGAGCTGGTCCTTACTCAAAGGAATGACCAATAAACACAAAAAGCATTACTTTTTCTCCACCATGGGATAGCACCAAGATGTATGCAGCAGAACACAAGCGTGGAAGGCTTGGCTGAGGACACCAGTAGAAAACTCTCCTTTCTTCACCCTGAGTGTGGGAAGGTGTGTGCTGTAGTGTCTGCAGGAAAGGAAAAGGGAACTCAAAGGGCTCTTAGATTCACATCTGAAAAAGCACCAGAAAACTGCTAAAAATATAATTGTAAATAATATCAATTTACACTTGCAAACTGCCCTGTATTGAACAAGTCTAACCCTCCTTACCAAAGAGAAGGCAAGAGGTTTCTGATTTTAACAGTAGAGAAATACGACGAAGTCAGATGCTGGCCATAAATGATGTCCAACACAGATTTAGGAATAGGACCCTCTGCAAAGTCCCAGGCATTTCCACGTGTTTCCCCATTAGAGTCCCAGTTTGCCCTAAGCCTGACCAGCGCCCGTAGTGCTGTACTGGTGAAGCACCATGGCAGCGACAACCTCTGAGCTGAGCCAACTCTGTCCAGTAACTTGGATTAAAAGCTG